TATACCTGCTCAAACAACATTCAAAAGTCATTGCTTGTAAAAAGTGACCTCTGACCTTATGGTACTTCTTGAACACAGCCATGATGTCATCGTTGAAGCTGGGCTGAAGCACCGCCCTCAGCAGGTCCATAGACACCTGAGGATCAGTGTAACTGCACACACACAGACACACACAGACACACAGACACACAGACATACACACACACACATACATACACACACACACATACACACAGACACACACACACAGACACATACACACAGACACACACACAGTATCAGAACCAATAGAATTGATCAATCAATCAGATCAATAATCTGAATATCGGCTCTGATAGTAGGACTGATAGAGTCCAGTATTCTGGTCCTTACTGCCGGTCCGTCTGTGGTGGTGTAGCGGATCGTGATCTGGATCAGTCGACCCGGTTTCAGCGCCGCCGTCGGCAGACTGATGTTCAGTGACGAGCCGTAGTCGGTGAACGGGTCCACCCGGTACGTGAGGGAGACCGGCTCCTCCTGTCCGGACCCGGGGACCTTACAGTCTATGGAGTGGATGAGCAGGGACGGGTGGGAGTCCAGCACCAGGGTCTGGACCCCCGGCTGGGCCGGGACCAAGTCCAGAACCAACCAGCCGCTCATCTCCTTCACGGCGAAGTTGAGCCGCAGGTCCAGATGGAAGTGTCGCAGCTGGAAGCAGCGGAAGTTAGACGCTGAGGCCACGTCCACCAGGGGGCACAGCGGGGACCCGGGACCCGGGCCCGCCGAGGGCCGGCCGGAGTCCCCGACGCAGCGGGACCCAGAGACCGGCAGGGATTTACGGCAGCAGCACAGCGAGGTGGGAGTCTGGTGGAGCTCTGCCATCATGGACCAAACCCCACCTAGACCTGGACTAACTGCATCCAGTACCACAGACTGCAGAACCGGCACCAACCGTCTCTACTGGGACAGACAAGACCAGGACCACTGACTACATTTAAAACCAGTTTTAAAGCCTCTATGTAACCCACAGCAGACTGATCTAAAACCAGGGACTTCCTGCTCCCGGGCCCCTCCAGAACTGGGACAGACTACAACCTGGTTTAACACAGGACTAGTTCACCAGTAAAGGACTTCATTTAAACCAGTTTCAGTCTGGTGGAGTTCTCTATGTGGACCCGGTTGAACCCCTTTAACAGAAGTCCAAACCAAATCCAGACACAGATAAGGACACTTAACCCGGGTCTTACTTCTAGACCCCAGTAAACCTAGTACACGACCCAGGACCAGTTCAGGTTTCAGACCAGAACTAAACTTAAACCCAGTTTAAAAGCAGAAACAGACTCTCTGTAAACCAGACTACATTTAAAAACCTACTGAAACAAACTGAACTCAAACCTGCTAGAAACACACAAAAAGGTCACTTGAGATCCAGAACTGAGCTTTAATCCAGGACTACCTGCCTCTAGACCCCATTAGACCCAGTTAGACCCAGTTAGACCCAGTACACACAACAACCCGGTCTACTTTTAGCAACCAATCCTACATTGACACCTCGTTTTAAACCACAGTTCAACCCTCTCTGTAAACCAAACTACATTCAAAAACTTACTAATTTAAAGTCAAACTGAGCTGAACCTGCTCCGGACACAGAACCGGTTCAGAACCTTTATGGTCCACTGTGAGCCGATGCTAGCTCCTGTTAATTAGCCCCTTTAGCTCTGAGTGAGTGAACGGAACCAGCTTTAACTCAACTTCTGGGTCCGACCCGGTTAGCACACAGGCTAATTAGCATTAGCGCCGCAGAGCTCTTTATTGTTTTTATGTGAAATCCATCCGGACAACCAGCGGCTGCTCCGGCAGACTGACCCCGGCTGCGAGCGCTGAGGGCCGGACACCGACGGCAGCTCGTCCCGCTGCTCGCTGCGGAGCAGAGAGGAGGAGCAGAGAGAGGAGCAGAGAGAGGAGCACACAGGAGGAGCCTCCTCTCCGGACTAAACAGGAAGTAACTACAGCGGGAAAAAGTTTGTGCAGGCCGGAAGAGGCGCTGTGGAGCCAATTACAGCCCGGGAGGTCAAAGGTCATCCTCCATTTAACCCAGTTCATTCATATAGAAAGATAATATCTGATCAATAATCTATAAACACATTTACAGAGGAATTACAATTCATTATTGTTTTAGGGGGTCAAAGGTCATCATCCATTTATTCTAATTCACATATTCAATCATTAATATAATTAATTAAATATATGATG